CAAATGCACCGTTCTGATTTGTCACAAGCGAAAAACTGTTCCGAACGAACCATGATATACTCGGCAAGGCAAGATGTATGAATAGCAATGGTAACGAAAGGTTGACGTTCGAAGTTCGGATGAAATTTACAAAAGCCAGATTTTGAGCAAGGATCCTCTGAAGTACTTTTGGTAACCTTTAGTAAGACCAATTCACATGGCTTCTGAAAATGACCTCTCTCTTCACAATGACTACTTCGAAGTTATGATTGTGGTAAGCTCCAAAACTGATAAAAAAAACTGCCTAAAAATCGGAGGGAAAAGCTCGAGCAGGCGGAATTTTCAAAAAATAGACTTTGCAAAGCTCCTTAACCCATTGCGGACCGCCGTTATAATTGCACCTCCGTAGGTTTTTGTCATCTCTTTTATCAGTGGCCAATAATCTATCGAAAATTTAACCAGTACGCAAATATATGATATATCCAGTGTCTGAAAAAGAAAAATGTTGATTTTGTAACTTAGCAAAATGCTGAAAAAATCGAAGATTATTATGCTTCTCGGCGTGGTAGCGTGCTGCACATGGTGCAGCACGCGGTCCGCAATGGGTTAAAACACTCACTGTAAAGCTAAAAATCCAGTAATTTCTTGTCGCCAAAAGTTTGCAACAGGAACGAAAATGAAGAAAATTGGTGACTGGAAGTCCGAAAGACCGCATTTGCACGAAAAAAAAAGCGAACGGACGACCGTCCCAAAATACTTTGGGTTTTCTTACAATTACTCAATTAGGGAAAAATTATTTGATCTTCTCACACCTTCGCAACGGGTAGCATTTGGAAGAAGTTATGACTTCTCAAAGAAATAACCGCTTATTGGGTTGCCCACAACGCCGAAATTTTTATTTTTCACTTATACCATGTGATGGCACGGCACCACTCTCTCCCACCGGCTGGCGCTTGTATTACATACAATACTGCTCCTAACTTTTGTAACATCTACGCGTTGCGACGGTTCTGTAGCGTCGCGACGGTTCTGTAGCGTCGCGACGGTTCTGTAGCGTCGCAAACCGTCGCACCATTATAACTTCCTTGAAAGCGGGTAAAATGGAAAGATCTTTACAGCATAGACTCGCCTCTCTGTGGCGAGTCTAACCATGTGTATACCTACTAATATGCTTGAAGATGACAATAAGTTATTCCATGAAAACTATTGTCAATCCCTCGTCTGACTGTCTCGCCTCTCCTCATTCCCATTATGTCTCCAGTCTTATCATGGCTCTTATCGTTAGCTACCGCCTTCATGATTTCACAAAGCCTTTCTTCGAGCTCTTCTCCACTTTCTCGGCCCCATTTTAAACCCACCAGGGCCCTTGGTAGCGTCCCCGAATAGAAGAGGGACCCCTCCCTGGTAAGGTATGCTCTCCCCGAAAACTCTCGGGGAAAGGGCCACGCCTCCAGTTCTCGGGGATTTTCCCCGATTGACATGCAAACGGCGAAATATCCTTGCAATTGACATGCAGTCTGGGAGACATACCCGAGAACCGATGCTATTTTCTTTCCCCGAGTTTTCGGGGAGAGCATACATTACCAGGGAGGGGTTCCTCTCCTGTTCGGGGAAATACCTTACGGCCCCAGATGTTATGTACGTATATTTCCCACCTTGCGCCCATGCAATTGTGTACAGCAAGCGATTACAGTGTTCTTATGCCTACAATACTGATACTAATTTTTAGATCGACGGTTTGCGACGGGTAAAAACCGTCGCAAACCTTCCGTGGTGTGACCCTAAACATCACTATGTTTAGATCACACCACGGAAGGTACGCTCGTCTGCGACCAAATATTTTACCGGATTCCTACAGAAAAGTAACCGGAGTCCACGTCGGTGGAGAGAATTTCTCGCTAAATCGCACGTGGCGCCAAGGGCTGGGAGGACGATCGGCAATGGGGAGCAAAAAAGGTGAAAAACAAAGTTTTCGTGTGCAACCTGAGTTGTACACCATTCGATAGTATTTTTCATGGGAAATCGAATGGTGCACATTTCAGGTTCCAAGTCCATCTGGACAAGCAAAAAAAACTGATCATATCACAAGGCATGACGAGGCAGTGATGTTTGGGGTCACACCACGGAAGGAACGCTCACCTGCGACCAAATTTCCACATAATTCCTACAGAGAAGTAACCGTAGTCTACGCCGGTGGAGAGATTTCCTCGCTATCTTCTCAGGTTTCCACAAAACATCTCCTCTAAAAGTGGGGAATGTCACATAATGGGCCTACCACTACTGCAATCCTAGATGAAGCTCTTTCGAAAATTGAAATATAGCATCTTGTAAATCTCGAGCAGAGCTATCAGCTGGTATAACTTTTCAAATCGCGTGAACCATTTCTTCAAGAGTTATGGCGAGGCGACGGTTTGCGACGGTTTTTACCCGTCGCAAACCGTCGATTCTAAAAATTAGTATCAGTATTGTAGGCATAAGAACACTGTAGTCGCACTGCTCGTCATGTCCTTGTGATTTGATCAGTTTTTTTTTGCTTAACACCAAGGAGGATAACGGCAGGGTGGGTGACAAATGCAGCGTACAATACGGCTCTGAAGACGCCAGCAAAGCCTCATTAGATCATACTTTGCGCCATGCAGTCGTGTTAAAACAACCAGGATAATGTAACATCATGACTGTGCGCTCTTTAGTGCTCTTTCACACCTCTTCGCTGTTGTTACCTCACACCCTGCTCTCCCTGGCCTATGGGTATACCTCTCTTAACACGTTGACGACAACGCGCGTTTTGGGTTTTTGCGCCGCGTGGGACCACGGCGATTTTGCAGGCGCCGCCGCCTCACATCAAATCCGTGAATTTTGAGCTTTAAATACCAAAACTCGGATGCAACAAAATGTTTAGAATGATATTCGATGTGTCAAACTTATCAGAAGGGACAACTGTAAAAAATCGATCGAATTGACGTTTTCTGGCGATGAAAGGCAAGTTTCAGTTGCTTTTGCTGTAGTGAACCTCAAAATTATTTTTGACGCGGTTGCTCCACTAAAAACATATGTCTTGCTATATGTGTGGGTCTGTACTTACTACTGCTCTTTTTTATGACCAAGATTATCAGAATATAAAGGAAACTAGGAATGAACACAATTGGGAAATTCGTAGGGCTTAGAAAACCTTCGCTAAAAAGGAGCATATTCAACCATTCAATGAACCTCGCCGTGTCTAGTCATATTATGGTGTAGTCTATGGAATAGATGCAAAAAAATTAGAAAAGAAGTAGCGCATGCGCGAAAAAAATAAATATTTTGTGTGTGCAGCGCATGCGCACGGTCCCACACGGTGCTCAAGATGTGATGCGCATGCGCTGCACAATGTCGTCAACGTGTTAATTGCCTGCGCTGTGCATCTTTAGTCAGGATTAACCTTTCACACCTCGCCGCGGTTATCTCGCACCACCCTGTAACCTGCCTCTGGGTGGATCTGCTTGATTAGCTGAGCTGACGAGGAAGGCCTTTCAGGAAATGCCAAGCTTTTTCAAAACGGTTTTTTGCATGATATAGGGGTACATGCATGGAACACTGAACTATAGTTCATTTTTCCTGAGCGGCCCTCTGAAGCCTAGAAATTATCGAACTTTATCTAAAACAATAATATAACACTAAGAAATCGAATCTGAAGCGTTCCGCAATAAATACTGCGATGAAATGCGCCACGCCCGCACCCGTGCTTTAAAATCGCTGAGGGATTTCGAAGCCCATCTTTTTTCACTACGCCTTGCACCATAATCAAAACTGGAGCATACTTCCACGATTTCCAACCACCCTCCCCCAGCTACCCCATTGTCAGAATACGACTCCTCGTTTACACGTCGACCCTGCCCACCGATCTATGCAAAGTAGCTGCCGGATTTTCGAATAGCTGTTAACAAACATCCCACTCGGACCGAATTCCATGCCCTGCAGGGCGTATTATGGAAGCGGATAAAAATACTATAAAACCGAACAGAAACTATGTAGAAGTCTGATTTTAAAAAAATTATAAGGCATTCTTTGGATAAAACACAAACAACGCAAACATCATTTTCATTGTATAAAACGCGTAATAATTAAAAAGAACGACACTTCAGATAAGAAATGGAAAACATCTTGACAGTAAAGAATGTCATTAAGGATTTTTGAAGAATTATATTACGTTGCACTATGTACTTTTCCTATACTAATACTTTTTATAGTTTCACAAACTATCATACCAAAACAGTAAATCATATATATGACAAAAAAAGAGGCCTTAGGCTTAGAACTCAGCAAAGCAAAGTCATGCTGTGGAGTGCTACTTGTCAAAACCGTAGCTCATTTGAACAAAGCAATTTCAGTGTAGTAAAACAAAATATACGATTAGTCACTGGAACGAACTCAACTCAGATGAACAAATAAACAAATGTAGATTCGAACATGATTAATACGACGAAACATAAAGATACGGGCAACAATTTGATCAGCTGTATTTTACATACTCCGCTAGTTATACACCACCCATTTCCCATTTTGGCAGGTCTGGCCCCCATTAAGCTATATGAACCTTCAAACAAAAATGATCAGCCAACAACTGCTGCGAAAAAATTTGCAGGTTGTTCCCGACGCCCAGGGTATGAACAAAAGAACGCCATACAAGGAAGACCATTGGTCAGTTAATGAAATCATGGACAAAGACACTAACTCATCACGTCTTTATGAAAGAAAGAATCGTCCTATGACCCGTCAACCACGCCACCTTTTTGAAGAAGATAAAAATGACATTAGTACTAGTGGAGGGTCCCACTGTTCACCATTAAGCTGCATCAGTGTCGAAGGCAGTGTTATCGTGATTCGAAAAGAAATTGGAGACGTGATGCTGATCAGAAACTGATCAAAAGATTGACCAATTTAAATATAATCGGTCAGAGTAATCAGAAAGCAAGCATCTGGAGGGTGTACAACCAGCAGGCGGTATAATATCAGTCTAAGAGTCAACTAACAGGGTATACTACTTACAGGAAGAACAGCTTACTGCGGAGTTCCTCATTTACCTCTCTATGAATTGACTGGGCAACCATGAACGCCAACTTGTGAGCATACTGACATGGTGCAGGTACGCGCACTGTTCCCTGCCAGTTATAGTACAAGTGACATAGTTTAAACGCGAGCTGAAAGAAAATCACTGATCACTGTACTATCATTAGGCGCTGAACGAACCTACCTTTTGATGATGGTCCGGCTTTAGACCCGTATTGTCAAATATGACATTGTAACAGACAGGTGTCACCGTGCCCTGATTAACATGCTGCGGTACCAGATAAAAGTCGTATCTCTCGGGTCGCGTGACGACCGTGTCGACAACAGTTCCAGGATCCGGGTTTGTCAATACTGAGTCAGGAGCACCTTTGAAGATTCTCATGTTCACTTTTTTTGTAACAATGATAAATGCCAGTTTGATTGGTTGTTTCGAGTGTTCCTTCTCCACAACTTCTTCGCAAGCTTTCTGTACAAGGGTAACCTGAAAATGGAAGCCTACCATAAGCATACACTTCAAGAAAATCGAATTCTGACCTCCTGATCCTTCACATAGTGGATTTGCCCATCGCCAACACCATCACGGTAAAGAAAGATTTTGTCAGGGAGGGTGTGATTGTTGGCCAAGTAGTACTTACGCAGCGCCTCTGTAATAAACGTTACACCCACGTGGAATACTCAGTCGTCGATAAAGGACGCTCCTTCAACACTGTGGATGTGTTATAAGTATCGTTCTCACACCTTGTCAAATCAAAATCTACGACTACCACTAGCGAGTCCAAAATCATACGGACAGCCTTCTCACGTGCTGCATTATCCCATTTCAAAAGAGTAACACAACAAGCGTATTTAGTAGCAATCTGGCTTCGAGAAATGCTTTATCCCTTTACCAGAGCTGACTATCCTTTGGGTCCGAACCAATAAAAATAAAAAATTAAACGATATCTTCGAAAAACAACATTATTAATCCAACAAATATGAAAACAATTAAACACAGTGAACCATTAATATTGATATGAAACAAGCAGATTGCAGACTTTTTTTAATTTAAAATTTACGTAAAGCACCTGTAAAATCAAAAAAAAAACTAGTAAAATTTGTAAATATAAACGCAACTATCAAAACAAAACTTAACCCCCTCTACTAAAAAAATCCTCTGTAATAAAACGACAAACATAACACTTTTTAACCCACACTGATACTTAAATTCGCCAAAATTAAAGCTACAATTAATGTAAACGTTAAACACACTACTCTGTTGCTACTGATGCTATGTCAGACGCTGCCATTTGTTTGCCTGGACTCAAGCCTTTCACAAAGAGCGCGTAAAAAAGCAGCAATTTCAAACAGCCCCCTATGCAATTCTCAGACGAAAGCACGAAAGTTGAACATTGACATGCTTCAAACGGCTGTGGTGATTTCGCCGCTGCTGCCTGTACTGATGACAGATACCGCCGTTAGCATCCATGAGGCTCGGCTTAAGTTGATGCCAGACTTTGTGAACCATTATCCGAGGATTCGACATTTGCCTTTTGGCGCACCATTACTTCCATAAGCCCTTTCAGATAATCAAGTGTTCCAGGCATATGAGAGAATACATTTCACCTCAAACGTCGACAGCTGTTTATGAGTTTCTATTTTTTCAAGATATGAAAAATTTAAAATTGAGTGAGTTATAAATGCTCACACAATAAAGGAAGCAATTGTAACTGGCCTTTCAACGAACGCCGAAAAGTGAGCGCTAATTAATATAACATGGCAGTACCCCAAACATTACTTTACGTTGTTAACTCATGGGAAGGAAGAAGAAGAACTCACTTTTGATAAAGTGTCCAAGATTGTTTCCGAGTTCAGTAGGATTCTCATGAGGACGAGTTTGTGAGTAGAACTGGGTGTAATCTTGGTCCGTAGTTGACACACATGCTCCAATGGTTTTTCCATGGAGAGTAGAGTCATGATACAAATCGTAACCAACTATCATAGCGTTCCTCAGCTGACAAAGGAATTAAATGAAATAGTAATTGAGAACACAAATGAATACCACTATTACGACGCATCTTATCGGCTTTATTGAAAGCGCATTACTTAACCATCTATCTATATGCCGTCATTGCGCTCGAGAATGAAAGTGGACTATATCTCGAAGAAGATGAAAGAAGTGAAGGAGGGCTTGCTTCTGCTTATGGAGGACACTCAGGACTATAACGCTATAATAACTGCATCAACAGCAGCATACAGTGCAACGAAAAGCTCGCCGATCTGCGCCATGGGCAAGTGTCCTTCCCATGTCCTTCCCCTTTCCCTTCGTAGGGGCACACACATGGAACATAGAACCATAGTTCATTTTTCCTGAGCCACCATCTTAATATCACATGAATAGAGAAGAAAAACCTCTTCGGGAACTTCCGTTGCTACTGCTTTATTTGAATTGCGTACATTAAAAGTTTCTTGTAAAGCATATCTTCGAAGAAGTAGACCCAAGCAGGGTGAATATCGCTTGAGGATTCCTCAACGGCACGTCGAGGATTCTCTGCCCGATCAGACACGATCTCTCGCGCGGACATTCACACTCGCCATGGGCGTGCCGTCTGTGCTCTCCGCGCGGATGTTCACTCTCGGCACTACTCTCGCATGGTAGAGAGCTATGGTCGAGGAAATCCTCGACCGTTATTCACCCTGGACCCAAGGCTGCAGTCAGATAGTAAAGCGGATAGTTTGGCGGTCTCCAGCTCTGATGACAAATGACAGGGTTGGTAGCTTGAGTCCACGTGATGTTAAATCTTTGCTTTTACAATTTTATTTTTTTGTGTTTGTCTTCGTCTACGCACGGATAAAACGCCAGCTTAATCAAATTTGAGAATCTTCGATGATCACTAATGAGCTCGTGTATTTATTAAACTTGAAATTTCCG